AAAGCGAAGAAAAAACATGAATTAATTCTTCTAAATGAAACTGACTCTTCTCGAGTCTCAACAAACACGCAAAAAAAAACACTGCACACACCACCCTCCGCTATAGATCTACGAGCCCTCCTCCACCGCCTACAATGGTTCGTCTAAATTCGAGCATACGAACCCCCCCCACCCTTCCAGTCTGTCCAAATCCAGGACTACAAGTTACCCTCCCTTCTCGTATAGTTTTCCGAAATCCAGGATTGTAACCCCCCCGCCCCCCCCTCCTGCTGTAGATCCTTCCCCCTCCGCCCTCCCCCCTTCGTACTTGTCAGATTTCTTTTGTACAGATTCTGAAGGGGGGGTCTCGCGCTATCGAACCGGACTCAAAGGCCCTCCAAGCCTGCATCACGCCCCCCACGAGGAAGCTCCTCGGTTTCCAGCACTTGCACTTCGATGCAAGGCTGCAGGCGCGACAGACTTCGGAGTTTGGGGAAAGTGGTGCGAGATCGTGGCTGAAGAAGGTGGTCGCTACTCAATCATCATCTCACAGGCGTTACTGCGCAGACACCGTCTGCACACCTGTGAAGCCCTGACCATGTCGCCCACAAAGCCAAATTGTTCAGAGAGCTTGCAGAACTTTTCTGAGCCATCAGCCCGCCCTTGCAGTGCCTGTATGTTCACGGATGCCTTCTCCAAACCAGGGCTTTCTTGAGAGTCGCGCCGGCACCGTCTTGCGACCCGCTGCGGCCCTAGCAGTTTCCTCCCAAGAAATGAGATTTCAGTTGTTTGATTGAAAGCAGTCCTGTGATTGGAGTGTGCCGTTCGTGCACATTTGGGTGGCAGGTGAGATCCGAGGACCCCAGCTTGACACACACACACACACACACACCTCACTCAGTCTCCTTTTCTCCCTTCACTTCTGTGTGTGTTCTGTTTCATCGCTAGATTTTCCACTATAGTTTGCTGAAGGAATGAAAAAAGGAGGGAAGCGAGCGAATCAAGGGAAGACAGAAAGGGAGGGAAGCAAGGGCAGGAACGGAGCAAGGAATTAAGGCAGGGAGGGAGGGAGGCAAGAACAGAAGGGAGCAGAGAAGAAGGAAATGCAGGAAGGACATAAGGCAGGGAGGAAGGAAAACAAGGGAAGCAAGGGAAGGAAGGAAGAAGGAACAGGAATGACGATCAACGATAAGGAAGGAGGCAAATAATGTAGTAGTAGTAGTAGTAGTAGTAGTAGTAGTAGTAGTAGTAATAGTACTAGTAGTACTAGTAATTAGTAGTTATTAATAGTTAGTAGTTAGTAGTTAGTAGTTAGGAGTTTATTGTTATTATTATTATT